AACAGGGAACAAGTCAGAAGCCTGCCACCAAGGGCCTCTGAAAGGCTCTACCCTGCAGGGTATCTAAGCAGATGCTGAGACTTATGGCCAACTGTTGGACAGAGTGCAGGAAATCTTAAAAAAGAAGTGGAAAATAGTAATATCTGGAAAAGACAGAAGCTCCACAGGAGAGCAACAGAATAAAAAATCTGGGTCCACGGGTCTTTTCTGAGACTGATACTCCAACCAAGTACCATGCACGGAGATAACCTAGAACCCCTGCACAGATGTAGCCCATGGCAGTTCAGTGTCCAAGTGGGTTCCATAGTAATGGGAAGAGGGACTGTCTCTGACATGAACTGATTGTCCTGCTCTTTGATCACCTCCCCCTGAGTGGGGAGCAGCCTTACCAGGCCACAGAGAAAGACAATGCAGCCATTCCTGTTGATATGTTATAGACTAGGATCAGAAGGAAGGAAAGGAAGGCCTCCCCTATCAGTGGACTTTGGGAGGGGCATGAGTGGAGAAGAGGGAGGGAGGGATTGGGAGGGGAAGAGGGAGGGAGCTACACGGGGGATACAAAGTGAATAAAGTGTCAGCAATAAAAGTTTTTTAAAAAGATCAACTAACATATAAAGCAGAAATATTAGAATATCATGTGGTTTCATAATGGAGACACTAAAACCTACAAGGGCTTGAACAGGTATCCTACAAACTTGAGAAATGCTACAAACTCCAAGAGACCATAGATGCCAGCCCATATTACTGTGCACACCAAAACTTTCAATCACAATAAATGGAGAAAATAACTCATTCCATTAAAAAAAAACAAATTTTTTTTTAAATATTCAGGATAGAAACCCCAGGCATGCATTTGTATATATCACACAAAATTGTTATGTCAGTTGTATTTTATTTTATTTTTTATTTTTTATTTTTATTTTTATTTTTAGTTAAATTTTGTTAACTCTGTGTCCCAGCTGTATCCCGCTCCCTCATTCCCTCCCCAACCCCTCACTCCCTCCCTGGTCTCCTCCCTGCCCCTTTCCAAGTCCCCTGATAGGGGAGGACCTCCTCCCCTTTCATCTGACCCTGTTTTATCAGGTATCTTCAGGGCTGGCTGCAAAGTCCTCCTCTGTGGCCTAACAGACTGCTCCTCCCCTGGGGGGGGGGTGTCAAACAGCCTGCCCTTGAGATCCTGTTAGAAATAGTCCGTGTTCCCCTTACTTTGGAAAACTACTTGGTTACTGAGCTACCACGGGCCACATCCGAGCAGAAGTTCTAGGTTATATCCATAGATGGTCCTTGGTTGAGTGTCAGTCTCAGAAAAGACCCTGTGCCCAGATATATTTGGTCCTTGTAGAGCTCCTATCTTTTCCATATCATACTAACATAATGAAATCTACACACCTAAAGAAGATAATCAAGAAAGTGGACACAGGCGAAGGTGATTAATCCTCATTTAGAAAGACAAATGGGATGTGCATTGAACTTATGACAGGAGTCTACCACAAAAGGCATCTGAAAGACGTTCTACCTAGCAGTGTTTCAAAGCAGACACTAAGACTCATAACCAAACCCTCGGCAGAGTGCAGGGAATCATATGAAAGAAGGGAAGTTAGTATGATATGGGAAAAAAACAAAATTTAATCAATATCTAACTACAAATCCAGCCCTACAGAAGGTGATAGAAGAAAATTCCAATCAAAAGAGCATAATAACACCAAAAACACACAAGAAATAAATAATCCCAGACAAAAATTCAAAAGGGGAAATACACACACACACACACACACACACACACACACACACACTCCAGTGTAACAAAAACTTCACATGGATATCTCTCAAAATTAATAGTCTCAACGGCCCCAATAACAAGAAGTAGACTAACAAAATGAATGAAAAAACAGAATCCACCCTTCTGCTGTATTGAAGAAACACATCTTAAAGGACAAACACCTCATTAGTTAAAAAAAGAATGGCAAAATCTATTCCAAGAAAATGGGTCCAGGGCATCCTGCATAGAATGGTGCACCAACACAGGACCATACCTGCTCAAATGTGGCCAATTGGCAGCTCAGTCTTCATGTGGATCTCTGAGAGAGGGGATCAGAAGCTGCCTCTAGCATCTCAATTCCTTATAACTATGAACCAAACATAAGGGTCCTCAAGTTTGTAAAGGACACACTACAACAGTGTAAATCACATATTGACTGATACACACTTATGGTGAAATATTTGGCTCACAAAGACATCAGAAAAAAACTAAAAACAGATAAGTTACAGATAACATTATAAGCCAAATGTATGTAACAGATATTTACAGAACATTTCACTCACAGACAAAGAATTGTTCTATGCACCTTGTGGAACTTTTCCCAAAAATGACCACACAAAGCAAATCTCAACTTATTTTTAAATGAATATCACATTGCAGACTTTCTGGTTACCACAGATTAAAGCTTGGTTATCAACAAAAAAAGAAAGTTTACAAGCCTGTGGAAACTGAAAAACTCCCTACTGAATAAAAAATTGTTCAAAGTAAAAATTAAAAAATAAATAGAAGACACTCAAGCATTTAATGAAATTTCATACTAGCATACCAAAACTTATAAAACCCAGTGATGGTGGTTTTAAAGGGCAAGTTCACAGCACTAATGCCAATATTTACAGGGGGAAAGTGCAATCTCATATTGGTAACTTAATACCACACCTGAAAGATCAGGAACAAAATGAAACCATGCTTAAAAGGAATAGAGAATAATAAATATTCAAACTCAGCAATGAAAGTAATGAAATAGAAAGAACAACCAAAACAACAACAACAACAAAAATCGACGAAACAAAATGCTGGTTCCTTTAAAATATCAATAAAATTGACACTTAACCAATGAATTAAAAGACACATGGGAAAGTATAAGCTTGGATGAAGGCAGAGGAAGGGGTTGATTCAAACAAAACGCTAAGTGTAGAAGTCCCTTAACGATACTTGCAATTTTTTTGAAGACAAGGTTTCTCTGTCTTGAAACTGGAACTCATTCTGTATACCAGGATGGCCTCAAACTCACAAATATCTTCCTGTGCCTGCCCCACAAGAGCTGTGATTAAAAGTGTGGGGCCTAAGAGATGGCCTGGTGGTTAAGAGCATGCATTTACTGGATCATAGGGTCCCTACACATATGTAGCAAATGTACATCCTGGTCTTCATGTGTGTCTCCTGACAGCTGGAGACAAGCCTGTCTGACTTTGTTTCCTGCCTTCGATCCATTTCCCTTAGCCAGGCTGCCTTGTCTGGCTTAAGTGGGAGAGGATGTGCTTAGTGCTGTTGCAATTTAATGTGCCAGGGAGGGTTGTTACCTATGGAGGCCTTCTTTTCTCTGAGGAGAAGGTGAGTGGGATGACTGATAGGGAAAAAGGGTAGAACTTGTATAGAAAGGAAGGGGCTGGAATCAGGATGCAAAATGAATAAACAAATTAATGGAAAATTAATTAACAAATCCTTTTTGTTAATTCTTGGTGAATTTCCTATCATGCCCTCAAATCCCACTCATCTTCCTTTGCCTCCATATCCATGCTCTATCCTTACAACCTTCCATCAAAAAACAAACAGAAATTTTGTTGTGTAAAATATGGTGTGTCAAGTTGTGTCACGAACTACACATTTTGCCCAAACAGCTTTTCTTTTAAATATTCATTGCAGTGGGTCATTCCTTCGATTTCAGGCCTCTGGCCTCTGCTACATTATGAATGCTGGATCCTCAACGAGATTCCTCTGATATCCTGTTCTTGCCCTGTGTCATGGAGATCTTGCATCTTTGGTTCTGGAGGAAGAGCCACTTTGTTCTCCCCAGATATTCGTAGTTGGTGTAAATGTTGGGTTGGAGCAATCCCAAGCCCTAGATCTGGACCTGGGTTGTAGTTGAGCTGGTCAGCCTTCCAGCTCTCCTGCACCCATGTAACCTGGGCCAGCTCTACTCTGCTTCCCAGAGAAGGTTCAGGGCAAGATCAACTGATCCTTCAGCCAAAGACAATGGGGCCAGTTGTTCTGTTTTCATGTTCTTGGGCCAGCTCTCCCCCACTGCACAGGCAAAAGTAGGACCAGATCTCTAGAGTGTCTCAGCTGGTGATGGAGTGGGCAGATCTGCACAGTCCTTGGGCACTAACAGCCCCAGGTGACAACCCAGACCAGAACATCCACATGGCCTTTGGTGTTAACATGGCTCACTGAATGAAGATGAGTATGCAATGTGGAAAGCTAAATGAGCTTGTGGCTTCTTCATCAGTTGTCCTGGTTAGTGTGAGGCAATAATGGATTCTAGAATCTCTTGTAGAATGACTAAATTGAAGTAAGTAAGCATTCTTTGGAAGAAATCTTGATATATATGTGAAACTAGGGCCTTTGATATTTTTATCCCTGTGGAGATAATGACGTCTCTTAAATATTTTAAATATGTTAATACAATCACATCATTTCTTCATTCTTGTTCCTTCTTCTGAAACTTCCCATATACCCCTGTTTTTTTTTCATATACCCCTGTCTTTCTTTCAAATTCATAGCCTCATTTTTTTAAGAAACGTTAATACATAAATGTGTGTTCTTGTGCTACTTACAGTCATAAAACTGGTCATGCCTGAAAGGTAAATTTAACCGTTTTATTACTTATAAGGGGATCTGTTTAGATATTTCATGAATAAATCAAACAAAACAATTAGCATGTCACGTCCTTTGGCATTTAGAAAAACATTCATCACTCATTGGAAAATATTTTAAATATTTGGTTCTCAGCATATGGATGGGAAGTATTAGCACCTATAAGAGGTGCGTCTACCGCATAGCTTGAACAGGACAATGTTGATGTGATTTGAATAATATATCTGGCGGCTAGTCCCTTTATCTTACAATCGCCTATGTATGAGGTTCTGAGAAACTCTTCAACCACACAGTCTTACATCCTTGTATTGACATTTTGATAAAGAGTGTGCATTAACAACATATAATTTCAATAATTAAAATACACTTAAGAGGTTTTATTCCTTCTCCAGACAAAACTGAGTCTAGGCATAACAGAGTTATGATTCAGAAGAACAAAAGATCCAAAAGAAGGAAAACACAGAGAAATGAAAGGACTGATGTTCGCCAGCCACCAACTGTGGTTATGCAGAAGAGCAATGCAGCCTCTTAAGATGGAGGAGAGAGTATAAAAAGCCAGAAAGGTGGACACCAAGGCCAGGATGTTCTGGGTGGCTCTGGACTCAGGAGAAGTTTTTCTGGATAAGCGAGTACTGTGGATGTGTTGAACCCGCTGCTTGTGTCTGTACAGAATGACAATCATGGAGCCACTGGCCCAGGCAATTAGCACAGAAAAGAAAAACTCAGGACACACCACCAATGCTGCATAAAGTGAGTCATTAATTTCATCATGCCCTACAGTGGAGCAGTATTCAAAAACTCGTTTTCTTGTCAAATTTTTCCTATTCCTTTTGGTAAATGGGTTTACAAAGAAAATAAAATTTATCAGCAGGTACAAGACCCAGACAGTGAATATGTAGCAAGCAATGTATTTCTCAGCTTTGACTTTATGATCCTTCCAAAAAGATTTTCTTGGATTGATGGTTATGGCCTGAAAGACACTCAAGAGACATGTGGTTCCAATGGATACACTCCGAGCAACTCCTTGAATGTACACTAGGAGCCTGCATGCAAAATCATCCAAGAACTGCTTCAGTCCCCAAACTGCCATTGTTTGGGGCACTCCTGAGGAGAGAATGACTAATGCATTGGCCACCATAAGGTTCACGAGAATCAAATCCATCGTCTTTAATGTGCATTCTCTGTAGTAAAGAACTAGATAGTAGAACATAAGAAAGAAATTTCCCAAAATTCCAGTTGTAGTTTGTGATAAGAATATAATTCTGATTGCTAGATTCCAGAATTCCATTCTGTAATTCACATAATTTCCTTCAGATTATGTCCAAAAAATCTCTCTGGTTAAATGAACAATGGCAAATTATAGTAGCCAGAGTGAAGGAAGAAGCCATCAGTCCATGGAGCTACTGAGAGGCTGAAACATATTGTCCTTCATACTCATGAGTACAAGGTCAGCACAGACCATGTAAAAACGACTCATCCAAAAATTTTTAAAAGAGTGGTTACTTTCCATGTTTGTTACTTTGAGATTGTGCTGTACCTCAGAATATACAAAATGGTGGAGGGAAAGCTAAAAAGTTTCACACAAAATGAAGCATTCAGTATGATTTCATATTGGCCAGCAAAAATCAATGAAAAATGACATAATGCAGGACGTCCACAATTTATTGACATTTGCTAGTCACGGTGTAAAACAAGGCCACTTTAATAATGACTAAAAACTTTAAATATATCACTTCCTAATGCATATACCATCTAAAATTTAAACATAAATAATGAAATTTTAATAATATAACTCTGTATATATCTTTAATTTCCTCCATCTTGTCACCACTGGAACCATCTTTCATTTAACCTGAATTAGCCTTCCCATTTGCACCCCATGAATGAAAACCTTTGGGAAAATATCCAACCATGTTTTATAAAGTAAAGTTTCTAAAGATGCCCCAGCTACAGCATGGTTTCAGATTCTGTAACTCTAATTGCTTGCTTAAACTCTCTCTGCAAACTGCCAAACAGGATATAGTTTTTATGGCATGTCTTCCTTTAAACCTCTCTGCAAAATGAATTCGAAGCTGCTCTGTGAGGAGTGTTTCTCTACAGTCACCAAGCACACTAAATAGAGAATCAGTTATGATGCTGGTATTTCTGTGTAGTCTTTGAGTCTTTACTCTGCATCAGTTTTAGATAAGGAAAATTTATTAAGAGCATAAAATGCAAAAGAATGATGGTCCAAGTGATATCTCCCGTTATATTAATTTAGGACTTGATGTTATGAAAATCACACCAAATAGATACACACACCCATACCACATGTATGTCTGTGCAATTATTTCAGGGATGTTAGAAAACGGTGGTTATTGAATATGAAAAATTCTCACAAAATGTACAACATAATAAAAACAGGCAAAATGTACCAGCAGAAATAGCAAATAAAGAAGACAGTATCTGTTAAATGATAGCTACCGGAGAAATATTCAGGTCTCTTTTGAAATTGTGTCTGGGATAATCATATACCACTCATTAGTCTAGAATGAAAAGAGTTTAAAAGAAGGCACTGTGTTAGATAGCACTTTAATGTAGTTAAGTTGGAAGAAACTCTCAGGGCACAAAACCCTATTCCTGATGGAAAAAAGCATGGTAAAGTCCTCTTGAAGAAGCAGGCACAAGCAGCTGTGATTCAGCACCAGGCTAAATCAGGAAACCCAAGGAAAGGCACCATTATTACACCCTCACCAGCTATGCAGTGACACTCAACTAGACACCCAAGAACTGGAACAAATTTGTCGATGAGTGTTAGGATTTGAGGAAGTTAAAACAAGTGAGGGGTTAAGACATTAGAAACTATCAGATACTAAGTCATTTCTTCCTCATGCATTGGGCACTGCAGAGGGAATAGATACTGAAGAAAATTAAAGGCGTTCTATTAAGTGAGAAAATCCAGATCCAGAAAGATCACTAGCCTACGTTCTGTCTCAATGCAGTTTCTTTGCTTATAGTTGTTAGAAATGTTTGTTTATGTGGATAAATGTGTGTTGATCTTAAGAAATTATAATGGGGCCCTTTATGGGAAAGGCTGAGAAAATTAAGAAAACATCCTGATATAAAAGTAGAAATATGTATGATGTGCTTTCAAAAGAAAAGCTTGAGCAGAAATAGGGGAAGATGAATTGGGTCAACCAAATCACTAAAAAAAAAAAAAAAAAAAAAAAAAAAAATCTGTACACCTAAAGAAACTAATCAAGAGGGAAGAGTCTGGCTAAAATGTTCAATCTCCATCCCAAAAGGCAAAGAGGATAGACATCAGAAGAAGAAAACAGGAAACAAGTTAGGAGCCTGCCACAGAGGGCCTCTGAAAGGCTCTGCCTGCAGACTATCAAAGCAGATGCTGAGACTTACGGCCAACTGTCGGGCAGAGTGCATGGAATCTTATGAAAAAAGTGTGAAATAGTAAGATCTGAAGAGAACAGGAGCTCCACAAGGAGAGTAACAGAACCAGAAAATTTGAACACAGGGGTCTTTCCAGAGACTCATACTCCAACCAAGTACCATACATGGAGATAACCTAGAACCCCTGCAAAGATGTAGCCCATGGCAGGTCAGTGTCCAAGTGGGTTCCATAGTAATGGGAACAGGGACTGCCTCTGACATAATCTGATTGGCCTGCTCTTTGATCACCCTGATTATCTGATTGGCCTGCTCTTTAATTATCCCTGAGGGGGGAGCAGCCTTACCAGGCCACAGAAGATGACAATGCCGCCACTCCTGATGAGATCTGATAGACTCATCAGAAGGAAGGAGGGGAAGACCTCCCCTTTCAGCAGACTTGGGAAGGGGTATGCATAGAGAAGGGGTAGGGAAGATGGGATTAGGAGGGGAGGAGGGGGTTTATGGGGGGGATTCAAAGTGAATAAAGTGTAATTAATAAAAATTAAAATAAAATAAAAAATTGAATAAATTGTAAAAAAACTTTAAAAATAAATAAATAAATAAAGGTATTTGTGATCCATGAAAAACAAAGTTTTTAAGGAAACCAGTTACAAGGGAAGAGCAGTCCTGCTAGGCCACAGATGAGGACTTTGCAGCCAGTCCTGAAGATACCTGATAAAACAGGGTCAGATGAAAGGGGAGGAAGTCCTCCCCAATCAGTGGACTTGGAAAGGGGCAGGGAGGAGATGAGGGAGGGAGGGAGGGTTTGGGAGAGAATGAAAGAGCGGGATACAGCTGGGATACAGAGTTAATAAAATGTAACTAATAATAAAAAAATTAAAAAAGAAACCAATTACTTTTAAGCTAAATATAGAAAAAAGAAAAAAATGAACAATTAGTGAAAGAAAAAAGGGTTGAAAATATACATCTTTCAGATGTTTTTAAATAAATCAAGAACCTCATACTCTGGAAATATCTAAATGTATCCACAAGCTCCATAGAAAAGTGATGACATCTGCTTGCAAAGAACAAACAAACCTACATACCAGTAGCCCCAGTGCTAAGAATAACAACAAAAATATTTTTTGTCACTGAAAAAAGAAGGGTTAATAATAGAGGATAACTTTGGGACAATCAACCAAGATATCAAACACATGTGCCCAGGAACAACCCATGATCAATTAATCAATATTCATATTATGAAATTCTATGTTCACATAAACTCTTGAAAAATCTTACACTATTGTATTTTTTCTATATTTACTGAGCTCCAAGTGATCTTTCACTTGTGAAATTCCCATGAAATATATAGTTATGTGTTTTGTTTCCTTGACTTTTGACAAAGAAGCCAAAAGTATACAATGAAAAAGTGACAGCAACTTCAACAAATTGTGCTAGTCTAACTGGATGTCTGCATCTAGTAGTAGAAGGTAAACAGATCCATAACTCTCACCCTGAAAAAACTCAAGTCCATGTGGGTCAAACACATGAACATATAACCAGATATACTAAATCTGATAAAGAGAAAGTGGTGAATAGCCTTAAATGCATTAGCACAGGAAACAACTTCCTGAACAGAACAACAGCAGCTCAGGCATTAAGATCAGCAATAAGTGGGACTTCTTGAAACTAAAAATCTTCTGTAAGTCAAAGGACACTGTCAAAAGTACAAAACAACAGCCTACAGGAAAATCAAAATATTTTCATCAAATCCACATCTGTCTTAGGGCTACCATTCAAAATATATAAAGCATGCAAGACACTAGATATAAACAAAAGAAATAACCCAATCAAAAAATTGGCTGCAGATCTAAACACAAAATTTTAGACAGTGGAATCTCTAATGGCAATGACACACTTAAAGAGATGCTCAACATCCTTAGCCATCAGAGAGACGCAAATCAAAACGACCCTGAGATTTCACCTTACAACCATCAAAATGGCTAAAATCAAAAACTCAAATGACAACACATGCTGGAGAGGTTGTGGAGAAATGGGAACCCTCCTCCACTGCTGGTGGGAATGTAAACTCATACAACCACTTTGGAAATCAATCTGGCACTTTCTCAGACAATTAGAAATAGTGCTTCCTCAAGATCCAGCTATACCACTCCTAGGCATATATCCAAAAGTTGCTTAAGTACACAACAAGGACATTTGCTTAACCATGCTTGTAGCAGCTTTATTTTTAATAGCCAGAACCTGGAAACAACCCAGATGTCCATCAACAGAGGAATGGATACAGAAATTGTGGTATTTTTACACAGTGGAATACTACTCAGCAATCAAAACCGAGGAAATCATGAAATTTTCAGGCAAATGGTGTGATCTAGATAAGATCATTCTGAGTGAGGTATCCCAGAAGGAGTATACACATGGTATATACTCACTTATATAGACCTATAAGATATGATAAACATAATGAAATCTATACACCTAAAGAAGATAAACAAGAAAGAAGACCAATCCAAGAAAGATGATCAATCTTCACTTAGAAAGACAAATGGGATGGGCATTGGATGTAGGAGAAAACAAGTAACAGGTCAGGAGCCTATCACAGGGGTCCTCTGAAAGCCTCTACCTAGAAGTGTATCAAAGCAGATACTAAGACTCATAACCAAACCTTTTGCAGAGTGCAGGGAATCATATGAAAGAAGGGTAGTTAGTATGACATGGAAAGGATAGGAGCTCCACAAGGACCAAATATATCTGGGCACAGGGGTATTGTATGAGACTGTTTATTCAATGAAGGACCATGTATGGATATAACCTAGAACCTCTGATCAGATGTAGCCTGTGGTAGCTCAGTAACCAAGTGGGTTACTCTAGTAAGGGGAACAGGGTCTATTCTGACATGAACTCAATGGC